AAGAAGGCTACATTTAGTTCAATTTCATTACTGCATCCCCCTGCCATCTCTAAAATTCAAATCTACCATTCCCAGACCCTCTGGCATTATTTCTTAAGCTGAATCTATATTTTAATTGGTTTTTGTTTTTTTAAAGCACCCATAGGTCTTCACAGTCTACCAAGCAGAGCCAGGTATAAATCCCATGCAGGACCCTTCCAGGTGACCTATAATAAGAATATATTTATTATTTATACCCTGCCCATCTGGCTGGGTTTCCCCAGTCACTCTGGTTGGCTCCCGACAGAATATTAAAAACACGATAAAACATAAAAAAACTTCCCTAAACAGGGTTGCCTTCAGATGTCTTCTAAAAGTCAGATAGTTGTTTATTTCCTTGACATCTGAAGGGAGTGAGTTCCACAAGGCAGGCGCCATTACTGAGAAGGCCCTCTGCCTGGTTCCTATTTATTGAGCATTTGCAGTCTCCTGCCCAGCATTACTTAGGCATTCTAAGAAACCCAAAACATCAATGCACTTTTGAAATCATTAGTTAAAATCCGTGCAGATTTGAAAGGTTCAGTCTGGCACCTTGGTTCAAAATGGCTTCAAACTGTAACAAAACCTAAATGAAAACTTGCTCCTTGATCTCAGGAACCATAATGCTGCATTTGGCTAGGCTATCTTCAGATGCAGAGTGAACGGACAAACAACTTTCCAAACTATTGCAGGGTTATAGTCAACTAACTTCTAGTTGGAGTAGACCCAACAAAATAAATGGACCTAAATTAGTTGTAGTCATTAAATTCCAAGTAAAGTCTTGGTTGAATACAACCCCTAGTAGATTCATCCTGATTGACTTGCACAGAGTTTAGATTATATCTGGTATTTACTGGTGCCCACAGTTAGAATTAAAAACAGAGGCACATTCTTAACCTTGGGAGTTTGTTCCACAGTCCTTTAACAACAGTGTCCCCTCCTGGTTATTCCAAGGGGTCTTCATTTAAAAGGGGAGGGGGCACATTTTTGTTGCTGTCATTAACCTGTTGGGGATCAGAAATAAACTGAAGCTGATAGACTGTAGGAAGATCCCAACCTACCTTCTGCTCTTCCCTAAGGTACATGCCTGCTTCCATTTTATCTGCACAACAACCCAGTGAGGAAGGGTTCGGCTGAGTGTAGCTAAGATTAATCAATAAGCTTTGAGGATGGGTAGGGATTGAAACTTAGTCCAAGTGGAACGCTCCATCTGTCACAACCAGTGCCGGATTTACGTACCAATATAAGCTAAACAAGCTATAGCTTAGGGCCCCACTCTCTTGGGGGGCCCCCAAAAAATTAAATGAAAAAAAACCTGGGTGTACATTTCCAAAATATAAGATAAAAAGCAAATTACTTTGATAAAATACATATTTTGTTATGTGCAAAGGGCCTTAGATACCTATTAGGTTCATATATTACCATATAGCATATATTCAGCACAAAAAACAGCAACAATTTGTTGTTGGCAAAGGACAGCTGGACATATAAAGGGCCCCATTACCTTCAGTAGCTTAGGGCCTCATCAAACCTAAATCTGGCCCTGGTCACAACATGTGGTTTGTGGAGCAAGATGTGCTGGACTGTGCTGTGCCACATCAGAACAGTCCCCCTTGTAAAATATAAATAAAGCTATCTTCCCAACCTTCATCCCGCTATGTTCATTTTCTACTTGTGGGGAGTGTTTTGCGTTGCTTGCCAGATTGGCTTTTTCATCCTCCACAGCAAACTGCTGTTTTGCTCCACTGAGTTTTGGTTTAACTTCTTAGAGAAAGTTGTCTTAACACACATTCTCATTCAATAGCATTTAAAGCTGTTTGCAAACACATTAATATCCAAAGTCAGGCACATAATAGCTTAGCTTCTGAGCGATGAACCGCAGGCAGAAGCTCAATTAGTGGCATTACATTCCTTAGCCATTGGCCGTAGCAAATTTAGAAATATACAAATGTATAAACCACGTCACAGCAGATTTGGCCAATTTGTTACGCATTTAAACAACCCACACACCATATGAAAAAACTTAATCCTATGCATTTCTGCTCAGAAAGAAGCATTCCTGAATTTCGTGAGACTTACTTCTAGGTAAGTAACTTCATAGGGTTGCAGCCTCAGACATTTCCCCCCCGACAACTAAATGTTTCCAGTGCAATCCTAGACATGTCTACTCAGAAGTAAGTCCCATTCAGTTCAGTGGGATCTCCTCCCCGGTAAGTGTACATAGGACTTACATCAGCCACAGACAGGATAGCCAGTGGCCAAGGGTGACGGGGATTGTACTCCAAAAACATATAGAGGGCCGCAGGTTCCTCACTCTGACACCTGAGACTTCCAGGGGCCAGATTTGGCCCTCAATGCCTCTCTATCCATCCCTTGTGATTCTCCCCAGGCCACACACACACACCCGGCCTTGCTTTTCAGCCTCCTTCTTTTGCTTGAACTGTGATCATTCCTCTTGCTCTCGCCTGGATGGAGGATGCTGCAGTCTGTGTGCAGAAAGCAACTTCTGGCTTTTGTGTTTCTGTACAAAGGTAACCCCACCCACTTTCCCCTCTGGCCCCACCCTCCACTGGCACACAGCCCTCATTTGGGGATGTGTTGTGTGCTCTGCAATGCAACTTGCACCCATGTCAATGGCCGGAAGACCCTCAAGTACTGCTTGATTTACCTTGTTCTGCACAAAGAGAATTCTCACGATAGTACATTTTACAGATCCGAGGGGCATTTTCACCAGCACTTCACAATGTTTCAGGACCTCAGTATATGCTGCTTCCTGGAATTATGCCTCTTTCCATCCTTTTCTTGCCCAGTCCCTAGATTTCTCTGCTGTTTCAAGCCTGATTAGCTTAAGTGATAAAATGCAAGACACACATAATGCTGTCTAGGAAGAACCTGCAGATAACTGGCAAGTTGCCTTTGCTAAGCGGTAGGCAGAGCTGAAAGGGACGCGGGTGGCGCTGTGGGTAAAAGCCTCAGCGCCTAGGGCTTGCCGATCGAAAGGTCGGCGGTTCGAATCCCCGCGGCGGGGTGCGCTCCTGTTGTTCGGTCCCAGCGCCTGCCAACCTAGCAGTTCGAAAGCACCTCCGGGTGCAAGTAGATAAATAGGGACCGCTTACTAGCGGGAAGGTAAACGGCGTTTCCGTGTGCGGCTCTGGCTTGCCAGAGCAGCAATGTCACGCTGGCCACGTGACCTGGAAGTGTCTCCGGACAGCGCTGGCCCCCGGCCTCTAGAGTGAGATGGGCGCACAACCCTAGAGTCTGTCAAGACTGGCCCGTACGGGCAGGGGTACCTTTACCTTTACCTTTAGGCAGAGCTGAGATAAGAAGCAGTGGTGGCTCAAGCAGAGACGGCGAGAGAAAGAGATTATAAAATCCCCTCCAAGCTGCCAATGCAGTCTGACCACCACACTTTTAAAAAATTGAGGCAAAGGTTATGCACAATAAGAACTCTGTGGCCAGAGTAGAATCTGGAAAACCTGGGATCAAGTTCCCACTAAGCCCACACGAAGCTCACTGGGTGACCAGTTTTTCACCTTGAGTATCTCAGCCTAAACCTACCTCAAAGTGTTGCTGTGAGGATAAATAGGAAGGAGAAAACCTCATAGTGGGGTGCAGCGTCATCTCCTCCCTCTTGTCAGTGCTTGCATACCCCAAGGTGACTGTCAGCAGACTCGGCCCCAGGGGGCTGTGGAGGTAGGCAGGGGGCACCTGCTTAGGGCCATGGGCCTCAGCAAGTGCCTGATGATGCCCAACCCTGTGCTGGCCTGGGACTTGCTGATTTATTTGTTATCACATTTCCATCCCACCTAAGAAGCTGCACTGGACAGAAGGAAAAGACAGGGAAACCATGTAAAGATGCAACAGTTTCAGAGATTTCAAAGTTCCCAGGACATGCTCGGATACAGCTCACAGTTCCTTGCAGGAATTCTCTGCTTCATCCCACAACTATATCTGGTGGTAGATCAGGAACCCAGATAAATCTGTAACTCTTGACAACAAGCTTAAAGCAAAGATCCAGGCCTCTTCCAAACTCCTGTGGAACGACCCCTCTGCCTCCTTTTCCAAACTGACTTCTGGAAGAGCAGGTTACTGAGTATGCTTCACTATTGTGGAGAGAAGGGCAGGAGGGGCTCTGTTGCTTTTGCAATGTCTTCTCTTCTTAATCATGAGGTTAACAGCATGGGTTATCTTTGCACTCATTGGCCAAAACACAGGAAGGCAGAATGAGGTGTGCTACTTTGCATGGACTTGGGTAGAATACTGCCTACATGTTTTCCTTTATACCTCTATAAAAGCTTACATTTTTCCATGAAAGCTGAATATTCAGGGAGGGGCATGAAATATTATTGAGGGCGTCAGGACCGCACAGGACCTTTATGGCAGCAGCCCTCAGTTTGTATGGTTCAGTGCAGGTATCGCCAACCTTTTTGGGCCAGTAGGCTGTTTTGAGAAAGTGCCCTGGGCTCCAGTCAGAATATGGCTGCCATAGGGTGTGTGGCAAGATACATTTCTAAAAATGCAGAAAAAGAGACAGGGCCACAAAAAGTTGTGAGCTTGCCTCCCCACCCAGTCCTTGGGGAAAAGGCACCTATATCAACCACCATTACACTCACTAAGTGCTTTGCATTGCTCCTCTGTCCAAAACTGGTGGGAGGGTGGGTGTCCAATCCTGACATCCAGTGAAGTGTGGGGATACCTGAGGGTGCATGTGCAATGGAGGAGAGGCTGAACCAGTGTAAACAGGTACTTGGCAGGAAGAGCAAAGAGTTACTCATGCATTGTGGATTTTTGAAGAAATACTTACTGAAACCTTTTGCAGGTGCCATAGGAGATGCTGGTGCCCAGACTGGTGTGTGGAGGTATCACCCTGGAACCCTTGGTTGACTCTTTATGGGGAATATTACAGCTTTATAATTCTGATAGCTCTTCCCTTCAGTGGACACCTCTGAACATGAGCATTCTTGTTCTTTTTGTCTTCGCAGGTGAACTTCTGCCATGGCTTCTTGTGATGAGCAATGATACACTCTGAAGTCTACAGAGACCAAACATCCAAAGGAATGGTTGCTTCGCTTCCTTCTCACTGTCGCGAAATGAAATGGTGTTCCTAAGGTGATAACTGCTTCTTGCAGTCTAGAAGACACAACTTCACTAGGACATTTTGTTTTTATTTTTATTTTTGTCTGCAAACGCACATTCTGATGGCTGGCGGGCAGTGATGACACCATGTAGAAGGTCCTGAAGGGGTGTCCTAACTGAGTTGCAATGGTTTTATACACTACCCCATTTCCAAACGGCTTTCTGTCAGCACTGCATTCTTTCTCCTGGGGCTTGATCTTCCCATGTTATTGGCTTGGAGACAGGCTTATAGCCTCCTTTGTGCCTACCACCTATGAGAAGCGCCAAAGGGGAGATGATCCGTGCTACTTCCACGCTCTGTGCATCATCATCACCACTCCAATTTACCTGGCGCTACTGGTGGTCTCTCTGCCTTTTGCCCTGATTGGCTTCCTGCTCTGGTCCCCTCTCCAGTCTGCTAGGCGACCGTACGTCTACTCTAGGCTGCAAGACAAGAGCCAGATCCATGGAAGCACGTTGCTCACAGAGTGGAAGGCCGCCAGCAATGGGAAAAGCTTCTGCTTTGGCAGCGCCAATGTCTGCCTGCTCCCAGACTCCTTGGCAAGATTGAACAATGTTTTCAACACACAGGCCCGTGCTAAGGAGGTTGGGCGACGGATACGGAATGGGGCTAGCAGGCCACAGATCAAAATCTACATTGATTCCCCCACAAACACGTCCATCAGCGCAGCAAGCTTCAGCAGCCTGGTCTCTCCTCAGGGCGGAGATAGTAATAACCGTGCAGTCAATGTGGGCATCAAGAGGACAACCTCGATGGAGTACAAAGGGGACAACTCCGGCTCGAACAACAGCGAAGATGGTAGAGATGGCAAAGCTGGAGGAGATACCAATGAGGGTGAAGATGGCAACACGTGCATTGTGCGCATAGGTGGAGAGGACAATGGGCACATTTCAGACCTGGAAGCGGATGGCACTGGTGGCCAAGTCAATAACAGCAAGGGGCCTGCAGACCGATCACCAGAATCTGAAGCCGAGAGCCTGAAAGGCCAGACTCCGAACCATAAGCAGAAAGAGGGGGATTCTGGGAGCCTAGATAGCTACACTGCCTCGCGAGAATCCCTAGTGAAGGTGCGTGCCGCAGATGGCCCTGTGGACCAGAGCACTGTCAACAGCAAGCTCCTTTACAAGGCCTCACTGATGAAGAAGACCTCCTTGAGAAAAAAGAGAAACACAGATGAGCTCTTTGACCACGAGATCTCCGCTTTCTTCCCTGCCAATTTGGACTTCCTGTGCTTGCAGGAAGTGTTTGACAAAAGGGCGGCTGAGAAATTGAAAGAGGAGCTCCACCATTACTTTGAATACATTCTGTACGATGTTGGGGTCTACAGCTGCCACGGCTGCTGTACCTTTAAGTTTGTGAACAGTGGCCTGCTTTTTGCCAGCCGCTATCCAGTTATGGATGCTGCTTATCACTGTTATCCCAATGGAAAAGGAACAGACGCCTTGTCTTCTAAGGGGGCCCTGTTTCTCAAGGTAGGTCTCTTTCTATAAAAACTGATTCAGGGACCTTCTGGTCTGCAAGCAGGACAAGTGCATATATGTGTGTGTACTTTGCATGTCTGGGCCACTATGCAAATGCAAAATTTGTGGTGTGCAATAAAGAACCCATTGCTTCGTTGGAACATAGAAAGCTGCCTTATACCAAGTCAGACCATTGGTCCATCTAACACAGCATCAAAATGAATGGGACCTGTCCCAAGTCCTGGGAGTGGCCCTTATCCATTTTGATATGGCCTGCAAACGAGAACATCCTTATGGGCCATGATTTTGGATCTCCTCTTCTCTCTTTTATATCATTTCTTTGCCATTTTGTGTGCAAAGAACTTTACAATCAGCTCACTGAACTTTGCAGCCCTGGGGAGTACTTAACCTGAGGTACCACTGTATTCTGGGCTTCCTTCCCTGCCAGATAAACATTGATATATTTTCCTGCCACTCTTTGAAGAAGTGTTGTTAATTTTTGGGATATTTTGAAATAAGAATAACAGTTTTGGAAGGATATTCATTTTAATAGCTGAAATTCTGCCCTGTAACAATAGTTTTATTCTTTCCCACATTTCCAAATTTCTCTTTATTTCTTTCCAAACCTTTATGTACCGTATTTTTTGCCCTATAAGACACACCTTTCCCCCTCCAAAAATGAAGGGGAAATGTGTGTGCGTCTTATGGGGCGAATGCAGACTCCTTGGCTTCAGCGATAGCAACGCGAAGCCTCCGAAGCCTGTGCTCCGGAGGCTTCGCATTGCTTCCGCTGAAGCCAGGAGAGTCTGCTCTTTGAGGCTGGCGGTGGGGAAAGCAGCGCTTCCCCCATCGCCAGCCCCAGAGGATGGGGGGCAGCAGGAAGGTGCGCGACGCCTTCCCGCTACTCTCCAACCCTCCTTTGGGCTTTTACGGGAGATGGGGGAATTCCCCCACCTCCCGCAAAAGCCCGCAAAAGCCATGCGCTCTTTAAAGGGGCTCCGCGGCTTCTGCTGGCTTTTCTACGAGGGGGGGAATTCCCCCACCTCCTAGAAAAGCCCGCAGGAGCCGCACACCCTTTAAAGAGCGCACCGCTCTTGGGGGCTTTTCCCCGAGGAGGGAGAAGGGACTGACTGGCCGTTTCAGTCCCTTCTCCCTCCTGGTAGAAAAACCCGCAGGAGTCATGCGGGGCTCCTGTGGGCTTTTGTGGGAGGTGGGGGGGAATTCCCCCACCTCCCGCAAAAGCAGGGAGAAGGTCTTGGAGTAGCGCACAGGCTGCGTGCAGCCTGTCCACTGCTCCCAGAGCTGCGGGGGGGGGGGGAATCATATTTTTTCCCTTGATTTCCCCCCCTGAAAACTAGGTGCGTCCTATGGGCCGGTGCGTCCTATAGGGCGAAAAATACGGTAGTTGTTTGGTAGATGTTATAGTTGTTCATTGTTAACCAGATCCCCAGATATTTATTTTTCCCCTCTACTTTCCTCCCACACATGATTTCTAGATCATTTTTTGTTTGGTTGTCCATATTTTTAACCATCAACTTGGTTTTTCCTTTATTTAATTTGAAACCAGCTAGTTTTCCAAATCTGTCTATCTGTTCTATCACTTCTGATATTCTCTTTTTCAGTTGTTCTAAAATTAACACTAAGTCATCCGCAAGTGCTTTTAATTTATAGTTTAGCTGCCCCACTTTTATTCCTTGTATTCTATCATTTTTCTTTATATTTTGCGCCAAAACTTCTAATATGAATATGAATAACAGTGGAGACAATGGGAAGCCCTGCCTCGTCCCTTTGTGTATTTTACATTTTTCTGAAATATTAGTACTTACTATAATATTGGCTGTTTGAGCTTTATAGATTGATTTTATACCCTTTAGAAAGGTTTCTTCAAATCCCATCTTGTCAGTAACTTCATCATAAATAGCCAGGAGACATTATCGAAGGCCTTTTCGGCATCCACAAATATTATCACCGCCTACTTTTCATTATGGACTTCTAAGAATTCCAAAACATTTATAATTTTCCTAACATTTTCTTTCATTTGTATCCCAGGAAGGAAACCCATCTGGTCGTCATGTATCAAATGTCTTAGAGTCATTTTCAATTTATTTGCCAATATCAACGTGAAAAATTTGTAATCATTATTTAATAATGATATTGGTCTATAATCTTTAGGTTCTAATAGGTCTTTATTATATTTTGGTATCAAAGTTATATATGCTTCTTTCCAGGACTCTGGTATCCTTCCTGTCTCCAATACCCTGTTCATAACGTCTGAGTGGAAGCATTAACTCCTCTTAAAATTTCTTATAATATCCTGCTGACCGACCATCTGGCCCTGGGGATTTTCCTGTCTTAATTTGACTTAGTGCCCTTTGCATTTCCATCATTGATATTGGAGTATTTAATATCTTTGCATTTTTTTCTGATATTTGTCCAATTTACATTCTTCCCAATACGCCAATATCAATTCTGTGTTTTCTTTCTCTTTCTTAGAAAGGTCTATGTAGAATTTAACAAATTTGTGTCTTATCTCTTTTTGATTGATTATGGAGGTTCCATTTTTTAGTGGACTACCATTTTTTAGCGGACTATGGATTATCCTTTTTTTCTTTTTTTTTCTTCAGTTGCCAGGCTAATAACATCCCTGGTTTATTTTGTAAATTCAATTTTTTATTTTTTTTTGTTTCATCGCTTGTTTCCCACCTACATTTACAATGTTAGTAATTTCAGTTGTTCCTTTCTTCCGGGCAAATGAGTCTGGTGTTCCATTTGCTGTAAGCCAGGCCCCAAGCAAAGTGGGCTTCTCTGACCTGTATAGATTGTGGCAAATTAAGAAAATGTGTGTCATCTTTCTTATTCTGCCTTCTGCTTTTGCTGTTGATAGGGGAGGAACAAGGAGCTAGGCAGTGGGTCCTAGTCCATTCAGATGAATAGGGACATTCCCCATCAACCTTAGTCTTCCCTCAGTGTGAATAAATATGCATATGTTAGTGAAAAGCAGCATACGAAAGTACATTATATTAAGGAAAATTGTTCTGCAAATATGTATGGATAAATGAATTTGAGATTGGGGGAAATGAGAAACAGAGAGAAACCAAAATGTCGCCCATCCCTGGTAAAAACACATCTCTGAGAGAGAGATGCAAAAAGAGCTGTTGTGAAGGCAGGGAGGAAAAGGCAGGCATTATGATCTCAGTGGCCATGGACTTTGCCCATCTCATAAACCCAGTTGCATTGACTTTACTGTGTGGCGCATCTGTCAGTTTATGAGCTTGGGGAGCTGCTGGCTCACCTCCTGCCCAAGCTCTTACTTGGACTTTTGGCTGTACTTTCCGTCCCTTGTTCTTTATCAGCACCACATCAAACAGTTTGCAGGGCTGACAGGGAACTCTTTCGCAACGGAATGCAATAAATCTTGGAGGATTCCAAGACCTGGGTCCCATTTGCCAATTAAGCAAGCCATGCCCTCCAATTCTTAAAGGATGCTTTCTTGAAAATGGTGGGGGGGAAATGGATAGGGAGAACCTCTCTCATGATACGAGAACCCACCGGGGCCATCCACTGAATCTGAAGCTTCCGGACAGATGCAAAGAAGCACTTATTCACACAACACACAGTTAACCTTTGGAATTCACTACCACAAGATTCAGTGATGGCCATAAACCTGGGTGGCTTTAAAGGGGATATAGACAAATTCATGGGCGTTGGTGGTTAAGGCTATCAGTGGCTACTGACCACAATGGCTATGTTCTTTCTCCATGGTTGGAGACAGTGTGCTTCTAAATACCAGTTGCTTGGAATCACAAATATAGAGAGTGCTGCTGTGCTCAGGTCCTGCTTGTATGAGGGGCATCTGGTTGGCCACAGTGAGAACATGATGCTGGACTAGATGGGCCATCAGCCTGCTTTGGCAGGTCTCTTCTTATGTTCTTATGAAGCAGATCACTGATCTGTCTCTACCTCAGTAGCATCTTCAGTAATTCGCAACAGCTCTGCAGGGTTTCAGTCTTTCCCAGATCTCCCGGGAATTGCTAGAGCCCGAAACTGGGACATTCTGCATACAAGGTAGTGATGGACACGATACCAAATTCTGACTGGTTCCAGTTCTGCAGAGTTCTACAGTAGTGCCTGCATTGTTCTGGTTCCATGTGGATATTTTAGGAGGAATATCCACAAATCCTTTTTTTAAAAAACCCCTTAAACCTCTGCATGAAACCTTTTTAATTTCAAAAATGCGTTCACTTAGAAGGTGGTCTGAGAGCTTCCTCTCTTGTCTTTTGTTGGTTCCATGGGGGCAGCTACGTTTCCCCCTGTACAACCCCACTGAAAATGCTGGCACAACTTGCATTGCTCCCAAGGGAACTTGTTCTAGGTTTGTTACATTTGTATATCGCTTCCCACTACAAAAAAAGTCCCAAAGTGATTTACAACACAAGTAAAAAATAAAAACAACCATGAAAATGATGAAAGCATGTTAAAAACATACTAAGAATTTTAACATGGGTTCATCCCTATTGTAATCACCGCACCCAACTGGAGATGAACACCGAAACAAAACAAACATTGGGGCAGCCAGAATGTATAGAGGAGAGAGAAAATATCTGTGCCTAGTACCAAAATCATAACAAAGCAGGTACCAGGCAGGCGTCCCTGGAGAAAGTATTGCAATAATAAGGGGCTATTAAAGAAAAGGTTTGTTCTCTTGTTGCCACCTGCTGGACCTCCCTTGGAGGTGGCACTCAGAGGAGAGCCTCAGTTTATGGGCAGGTGGCAAAAGGTAGGGAAAGATATGTGGAAAGGTGTTCCTTTAGGGATCCTCTCTGGCTTTCCAAATAGGGCAGTGGGCAGCCTTTAGTCTAATTTCAAAATTATTCTGCATGGCTTTGGCAAGTGTGTTATTCATTCATTCGTTCAAGTATTGTATACCACCAAAACAGACACAATATAATGTGGCGATGTATTAAACACCACAAAAATAGTGCAATATGATTACATGGACTGGCTGATAAAAA